TTCGTGTAGCATTGACAACAGCTAAATGATCCCTACATGCTTGGAAGGATCTTTCCCGACACATCTCACGCGAGCACACAAACTCGATTTCTTTTTGTCGAGACAGCTGGTGCTGTGCCCGATCAAATCTGGTCTACCCAAACCATCGCGTCCGAGGTAAACCTGAGAACTAACATACGCTTTCCACCCACCATCTAAAACTAGAGCCATGACGTGGCACCACCAGCTGTCATTGCATGCGTCAAGTCTGGTGGCTTGAGACGCCTCAGACTCGCTTTCAAGCAACACTCTCTATTGAGCCTCACTCCAACGAAAACATTAAAGTCAATTGGTGTACAGTGGATATAGATTATTAGTGTTGCAGTGGAGCAATGTCCCAAAAGGTCATCTACGACAAGAACGGGTAGTCGTTGTAGCCCTTGGCGCCGCCCGTGTAGAACGTGGACGAGTCGGGCGTGTTGAGCGGCGCGTTGAGCTTGAAGCGCGTGTCGAGATCCGGGTTGGCGAGCCAAGCCGTGCCAAAGGCAATGGCGTCGACCTTGCCAGACGCGATGGCCTCCTCGGCCTCCTCCTTGGAGTACCCCGCGTTGGAGACGAGCGTGCCCTTGTAGTGCTTGCGGAAGATGGGCACGACGTCGCCCGTCTGCTTGCCGAAAAAGTCGCCGCGCAGCACGTGCACATACGCCAGGTCAAAGTCGTTCATGGCCTTGGCCACATACTCGGAAAACTCTTCCGGGTTCGAGTCCTTCTGCGAGTTGAAGCTGTTGAGCGGCGAGAAGCGGATGCCGACGCGGTCGCCACCGATCGCGTCGACGACGGCCGTCACAACTTCGCGGAGGAAGCGACCGCGGTTCTCGCGCGACCCGCCATACGCGTCCGTGCGCGTGTTGGAGCTCTCCTTGAGGAACTGATCGATGAGGTACCCGTTGGCGCCGTGGATCTCGACGCCGTCAAAGCCCGCCACGTCCACGCAGTTGCGCGCCGCCGCCGCATAGAGCTGCACGATGTCGGCGATCTCGTTGATCTCGAGCGGACGCGGCACGACGTACGGCACCTTGCCGTTGGGACCATGCACCGTGCCGTCAATCGCGATCGGCGACGGACCCACGGGCTCGGCGCCGTCGTTGAGGTCCGGGTGCGCGGCACGACCCGAGTGCCAGATCTGGCAGAAGATCTTGCCGCCCTTGGCATGGACCGCGTCCGTGACCTTCTTCCACGCCGCCAACTGCTCGGGCGTGTGCACACCGGGCTCCGAGTAGAAGGCCGACGTCTTGGGTGCGATCATCGAGCACTCGGTGATGAGAAGACCCGAGGATGCGCGGTCAGCGTAGTGCTGGACCATGGCGTCCGACGGGATGTGGTCGCCGGGCGTCGCACGAGCACGGGTGAGCGGCGCCATGAGCATGCGGTTGGCAGCGAGCGTGCGGCCGAGCTGGATGGGCGTAAAGAGGTTGTTGGCGGCCATTGTACTGGATGAGCGGAAATGTGAAAATGAGCTGATGGAAGGGATCTTTGGACGGATTGGTACGTCCGTGTGGCAAAACTAATCCACGATGCGTCCATCCGCGGATCCAAGAATTCGCAGCCGTGTCGCAGGGGCGTACACACAGCAACACGGTTGTGATTGGTGGGTGCGGCGGGCTTTCGGCAACGTGATTGGCCAGAAACCAGCTGGGTTGGTACGGTGTGGACTGCTCGCTTTTTGGATTAGTTATTGTGGCGTCAACCTTGTCCTGAACACAATGGAGTCGCCAGCGCATTCACTGAGGATGTCGAGTATCAGTACAAAATGAATGCAACCGAAGACGTGCACAGATATTGCATGTATATCTAAGGTAGTATATGTTGACAGCTTAACGACTTGTCGAGATGACAATGGTCGACGAAGACGATGGAGCCAACGTCTAACATCTCCAGCAGAGCGAAAAGACCGTGAAGAGTCGTGTGCAGACGTCACGGCACTGGGATTTTACAGTACTAGTAAAATGCAGCATGCCTTCCCACTGCCGTCAGTCGCATCACGTGCCGTGCTGAGTCGACTGTTCACCATCACGAGCAGGTTAGCGCAATTTTTTCGAGATTCGATTCGATATGTCAAAATACTGAAGGCACAAATCAACTAGCTTTTTAGACGGTGGATTCCTGCTTCACATGCACGGTTCAAGCCCCGTAGTTGTTGTCTCTTTCTTCGGATACCCATTGGCGTTGGCATCGGGACCATCAAGTGGTTCTTGACAAGCTTAACAACAATTTCCTGCCCCCAACTAGCTACTTCGGTGAGCAATGAGTCGCGCTACGCAGGTTTGAACACAACGGGTTCTCGTCGCCCAGAGATGGCGTGCGATATTGAGCTTCGCTCGAGTACAAAGACGATGACGCTGGTCGAATGTTAAGCGATGCTCAAGAAAGACTGTGTAACACAGTCTTTCTTAGCTGCCGCTCCATCAAATGCAGTGCATTTGATGAAGAGGCAGATTAGAGCACGAAGCTCGCCAATCGAGCTTGCACTGAGAGCATCTCAGGACAAGGTTCGTGCCACAATAACTAATCCAAAAAGAGAGCAGTCCACACCGTACCAACCCAGCTGATTTCTGGCCAATCACGTTGCCGAAAGCCCGCCGCACCCACCAATCACAACCGTGTTGCTGTGTGTACGCCCCTGCGACACGGCTGCGAATTCTTGGATCCGCGGATGGACGCATCGTGGATTAGTTTTGCCACACGGACGTACCAATCCGTCCAAAGATCCCTTCCATCAGCTCATTTTCACATTTCCGCTCATCCAGTACAAT